GAGCATCTCGGCTATATACCGTTATCGGACAGGCGTCTTCTTCATCGTCAGAATCTGGCAGACGCCAAAATTCTGAATTTGCACTGAATGTGAATAACTTAATATTTGGATTGTATTCACATATTTTATCAGCAAATTCAATATCTATATCACCTATTCTGCCTTTATTCACCCAATTGAGTAGACAACTGGCAGCAATGCTTACAAGCGATGAAGGTTGTCGTCTTAGCCTGAGATGATCAATGATTAAACGAGGATGTTTGTTAGTGCAAATCGTATGTTTTTTTTGAATAGCGTATCTTCTTTCACCTATTTTCACCAACACCCAACTTCCTTCTTTACATAGTGTCACATCTCCTTTACCCACATGAGGACAGTCAATTTCTCCACCCACACATTGTATTATTTCTCTAATATGTATTTGTCCAATGACTGGAGCACGACGTCTTTGAACACGCTCTTTCAATAATTCTTCAAATATTTTTTTTTTCACTTTTCGTTTCTCCAAGAAAATTAGGTCAGTAATGAATTTGAAGTTTGTGATCCCTCAAAGTTATCCCCACTTTTCTCAATTTCCACTGTGGTTCTTATCCCCCACTCCTAACACTCAGGATTTTAAGATCCTCAGTCTGACAGTAGATGGCAATTGCTCTAGCATTGGTTTGTAACCGTTATATAGTGACTTTTTACCCCCACTACCAAGCTGAGATGCGAATCATGTATGCATGTAATCACGCATGCGCTGCAGTGAACAGTTCTGAGCACTGTTATTGTTCGACAGAGACGTCAACAGTTTCGAGAACTGTTATTGTCCAGCAGCCACATAAACAGTTCCGAGAATTGTAATTGTCCGCCAGCGACGTCAACAGTTCGGAGAATTGTTATTGTCCGCCAGCGACGTGAACAGTTCCGCGAATTGTTATTGTCCGCCAGCGACGTCAACAGTTCGGAGAATTGTTATTGTCCGCCAGCGACGTCAACAGTTCCGAGAATTGTTATTGTCCGCCAGCGACGTCAACAGTTCGGAGAATTGTTTGCATGTAACAACGACGTGAACAGTTCTGAGAATTGTTATTGTTCGACAGCGACGTAAACAATTCCGAGAATTGTTATTATCAGCCAGCGACGTAAACAGTTCCAAGAATCGTTTCTATCCGACAGCGACGCATCCAATTCGAAGAATTGTTTTTTTGAACGATCAAGCGTAAACAGTCCGGAGGATTGTTTTTTCAATGATGAACCCGTCAACAAGTCCAAGAATTATTTTTAACCTAATGGAATTAAACGTCGCATAAAATTCTCCCCTTATAAAACGGTGAGATGAATCCCGTTCGAGTCAGTTCAAGCGCGATCAATCATTATGCAGAGAGGTTGTATCAAATTGAAAAAACTCTCATTTCCAAGATGGATTCCAAGAAATGTTGGGAAATTTTGAACATGCTTGAAAGTGTATACAAAAATGGATCAGTTATCAGTTCTGAAAAGTGGATTCAATTCTATGAAAGACATATTCAACTCTTCAGAAAGCTTTTGAAAAAAGATGAATGTCTCAACGGCAGATAAGCGCCGGTGCCAAACTGTGCTGTCCTATCTTCACAGTTATCGTGAAAAGTTTCGAATAAAGGGAGAGCAACATCATGGTGGACGACTCAGTGATGCCTTGAATGAAGATGTAAGTGACACGTCCGATGAAGACAGAGATAACGCATCAGATGAACTCAGAGGAAAGAGAGTGATTTGGAAGGACTTAGAATCAGCCTTCAGTAGCCGAATTAAAACAGGTGTCATCATTAATTTAACACACAAGGATCCTCAGTCTTTCCTCAACGATGCGACAACCCTTGCTGTCACACATTTGCAGAGTGTTCTACAAGAACAGGGGAATATGAAGGCTAATGGCATCCTGATCTGTAAGTTTCAAGTCATGAAGAATGATGACATGATTGAAGAAACTAAGTATTTTAACACAAAAAATGAAATCATCCTACCTACTACTAACATCGAAGAGTGGTTCAGTGAAAATATTATAGAACGGCTCCTTGCAAAAATCGAGGATTTCCAAGAAAAAGATTCTGGATGGGAATTGGTTGAAGTTATCAATCTTACAATGAATATTAATAAATATTCACCACTCGCAGCCGGTTCCAGCACTTACATTCCATCACCTCAATATATACAATCAAAGAGAGCTGTGGTGAATATTAAAAACAATAATGCATGCTGTTTCCTCTGGGCAATCACAGCAGCACTCCATCCTACCATGTCTAACGCTGATCGGCTGAGCTCATATCCTCATTACTCATGTGCAACACTTCCAGATGGAGCAACGAAACTCAATTATACTGGTTTGGAATTTCCAATGAAACTGAAGAACATTCAGAAATTCCAACGGATGAATGGACTGTCGGTAAATGTATATGGAATTGATAATGAGAAAGATATTGTACCCTTATATTTAAGCAAAGTTAAGTCAATTTGGTCTACAATTCATCTTTTACTCATTTGTGATAATGATCAGATGGAACGCGATACAGAACCAATTTACCATTTTACTTGGATTAGAAATTTATCTCGATTGGTGAGATCACAACTTTCTACTCATCAACATCATATGTTCTTTTGTGATCATTGTCTGAGCCATTTTTTCGCTGTCAAATCATTTGAAAATCATAAAGCAGATTGCCATGGAATCAATAAATGTAGAATGGTGTTGCCAGAAGAGGGTTCAAACATCTTGAGTTTCAAAAATTATCGATTCAAAGAAATGGTGCCCTTTGTTATTTACGCTGATTTAGAATGTATTTTGGAGCCAATGAATTCTGAATTTTCACATCAGAAGNCTTTTTATTGAGAAAGGGATTCGAGGTGGAGTGGCTCAATGCTCTAATCGATACGCTCGTGGAAACAACAGATATATGGGAGAAGAATTCGCATCAGAAGAGGAGATTTCTTATCTCATGTATTTTGATGTAAATAATTTGTATGGTGCCGCTATGTCTAAATACCTACCGTATGGATCATTCAAATGGATTGATCCATCAATCATTGATGTGAATACAATTCCAACCGATTCAAGCAAAGGGTACATCCTTGAAGTCGATCTGGAGTATCCTGAAGAGCTCTTTTAGACTCACAAGGATTTACCCCTTTGTCCAGAACATTTTGTTCCCCCTAATAAAAAAATTTCGAAATTGATAACGACATTGCTTCCTAAAAGAAATTATATCATTCATTATGAAAATCTCAAACAATGCCTGAATATGGGATTGAAATTGATAAAAATCAATCCAGTACTAGAATCCGATCAAGCACCATGGTTAAAACCGTCCATTGATGTAAATACAGAATTGAGAAAGCAATCCAGCAATGAGTTTGAGAAGAATTTTTTCAAATTAATGAATAATTCAGTTTTTGGTAAAACAAGTGAAAATGTTAGAAAACAAAAAGAAGTGAAGTTGGTCACAAAATGGGAGGGGAGGTACGGAGCAAAAGTTCTCATTGCTCAACCTAACTGACAAACAAATTCTACAAGCGGCTAAGACTTCTATGCATCCTGGAAGTGATGCAATTAAAACAGCGCTCAAGGGTACACGAGATGCAGTTAGAAGTAAAGGTGGTAGGAAGCAGGTACGGTTACCCCGCGTCTTACCTATTCCTGCTAAAATCGGAGGTGTATTGCCTTTCCTGATACCTTTATTTACAGGTTTAAGTGCCACCGGAGCTCTAGCTGGTGGTGCAGCAGGCATAGCAAAAGCTATCAATGATGCCAATGCTGCTAAAAAAGCTCTAGGAGAGAATAAACGACATAACCAATTAATTGAGGTCATTGCATTGGGTAAAGGATTGTACTTGATACCCTACAAGAAAGGCTTGGTTCTCCATTTAAAAAACGTTTAAAGCTACCACTCCGAGTTCTCACCGATATCAACTTGGTAAAATACGCTAAGATCATGAGAATCCCATATTTTCGTGGCGTTTATATGAGAAACGACATGCCCATATCAGGTCCACGTAAAAATGAATCAGCAATTGTCAACCTTGATCATAAGGATGGACCTGGAACGCATTGGATCGCATACAAGAAACGAAACAATGAATTCATCCTATTTATTCATCCATTTTGATAGTTTTGGTAACCTTCATCCACCTCAAGATTTGATAGATTATGTCGGTGTTGGTAGCATTATTAAGTATAATCATAAACGATATCAAGATTAGGTGGTGTGTGGGCATCTGTGTTTAAAATTCCTCAATGGAGAAATGATATAAAATATGGCGACATTGCTCTATAGACATCAGTCAGATATTAACTACGATGAGTGAATCTTTTACGCTAACATTATCAGGCACTTCCTCAGTGCTGGAGGCTCATTACTTTCCTCCAATTGAATTATCCCCATTGAAAAACTACATTCTCGGATTGGCAAAATTATTAACATTCAATTCCATTCCCAATATTGACACAGGGAATAACAAATTTTATGTGCGTGAAAGAGTTATTGAAATACCCATGGAAAGCTATGAAATCGAGGATATTGAAAATTATTTGGTTGAGAAACTTGCGGAGTATAACATAAATATCAGCCTTAAACCCAACAATAATACTTTGAAAAGTATTATCAAATGTACTCATCAAATGGATTTCAATCATAAAGATTCCATTGGACAGTTATTGGGCTTCACGTGTGGGATTCTTCCACCTCATATTAGTCACGAATCTGATTCACCAGTGACAATCCTTAGGATCAATTCACTGAGAGTTGAGTGTAATATTACCACTGGAGCATACATCAATGAAAAACAAGTGCACACTGTGCATGAATTCTTCCCCACTGTTCCACCCGGATATAAGGTTGTTGAAGTGCCGTCGAACATAATTTACCTTCCGATAGCCGTACAGGCAATAGTTCATCTCCAAGTGAAGATTGTTGATCAAGAAGGTCAATTGGTGAATTTCAGGGGAGAGATAATAACAATAAGATTACACATCAAGGTCTGATATGGGTATTGTTTTCAATACCAAGACTGGAGGTCGTTATAAGAGCGAATCACCATCAGCAGTATCGAGCAGTCATCAACGACCTCTCGAAGCGTTAACACGGCAGAACCTAAAATTCCTCAAGAGCTTGGGCCTGAGACTCCAAAAGGAACGAAGAAAAAAAAGAAAAGTGTGAGGAGAAAAATCCATAGTTTTCTCTGTTGTTGCATCATCATCATCTACCATCGTAAGCCATGGAGGAGATCTTGAAAATTCGGTAGCCTATCATCTTTGATGAATCTATCGCTCATTACGAGATTCATGCACATCAGCCTTTTGGATCGACAACATTCAATAACAATGATGAAATTCGCATTGCCGTTCAACATCAAGACTTATGCCTGCTACCGAGTAAGAGTGCACTGCATGTACATGGACGCTTGACCAAAACCGATGGAGGAGCTGTTACGCACACGAGATTGGTGAATTGTGCGATCCTCCATCTATTTGAGGAGATACGCTATGAACTGAATGCTGTTGTGATTGATAGAAACAAAAATATCGGCATCACGACACTGATGAAGAATTATGTGTCGCAAACTCCCGGTCAAGCTGCTCTCCTGGAGAATGCAGGTTGGATCCTCAAAGACGACGAAAGAACAATCCTCGATGCTAGTGGCTACTTTGATATCTCCATACCATTGATTATGTTGTTGGGCTTCCCTGAGAATTATGCTAGAATTATTGTGAATGCAAAACATGAGCTAATCCTAACACGAGGAAACACCGACGTGAATGCAGTCGTCCAAGCACCAGTAGGAGAAGCTGCTGCTGAATCATTTAGACTCTCGCTGACTAAAGTGGAGTGGATGATTCCCTACATCAGAGTAGCCGATTCCAAGAAAATCAGTCTATTGAACTACATTTCTAAGGATGCACCAATTCCCATTAGTTTCCGAGCTTGGGAATCGTACGAATACCCACTGCTACTAGCGACCTCTAAACATGTTTGGGTGGTGAAATGCTCAACTCAATTGGAGAAACCTCGCTATGTCATCATGGGATTCCAAACTAATCGCAAGAATCAAGCTAATAAGAATGCGAGCCGCTTTGATCATTGTAATATCCGCGATGTAAAGCTTTTCCTCAATTCTCAAAGTTACCCTTATGGTAATCTAAATCTTGATTTCGATCATAATCAGTACGCTTTGCTTTATGATATGTATACAAGTTTTCAGAGCTCCTACTATGGGAAAGAAACTGAGCCACTTCTGAGTAAGACAGATTTCCTCACCTATGCTCCACTTATTGTCATCGATTGTTCAAAGCAAAATGAGTACTTGAAGTCCGGACCAGTTGATATTCGTCTTGAATTCGAGTCTGATCATAATTTTCCGTTCAAACTGCAGCCTATTGCTTAATTTTACATGATCGTATAGTGGAATATCATCCAATCAGTGGAGGAGTGAAAAATATGATTCAAACATGAACAATTATTAGTACCAAAAACGTTTTTTATTTTTCCATGTAACAGTTTTGATGTAATAAATTTTAGGTTTATATATATATCTGCATTTTTTTTTATTTCAAAACCTTCTCTCCGATGTTCTTGAACTTTTTTTGAAATTGTAAGGATGATGACGTTTTCGACTACCATGTTGCTTACGGCGAGGACATTTTGAAGTTGGAGAACCATCACCTTCATTATCCTTTGAAGTACTGGGTACTGATTCCTCCTCCTCACCTTTCTCCATATTCAAATTGCGACGAAATTCCACAATTTTATAATTTCCTTGTAATTCAAGGAAATCTTGTAGGAAATCTCACGCTGTTTGTGGTGGATGATCACCATAGTGATTTATGATAATGTCATCGTATTCACAGACATATGGTGATAGAGACTTCAGCAAATTTACTTCGTCAGCAGTCAAGTTGTGTTCATTTCGTGGTGGAATACGAATACTTTTCACCAGTTCCAAATTCTCCTTCAAATCGAGGAAGTCTTGATGACAATCCCATGGCGTTTGTGGTGGATTCTCATCATAATGTCTAATGACAATATCATTGTAGTCAACCAAAAACGGTGGAAGTGCACACAGAAATTTGCCTTAGTCTGGATTCAAGCGATTCATGATGAAGACTGATACACTCTACAGACCACTGATTTTATAAACGTTCTAGAACCAGATATAATTCACTAGCGGACTTGAGATGAACTTCCCCCACCCAGTCCCGAACTGCGCAATACTCTGAAACGTAAACAGTTCCAGGAATTGTTGACGTACAATTGCGTGTGATGACGCAATCCAATTCTATAAAAGACTGACGAGACGCTCCAGAGAGACCATTCAGTCGTGCTCTAAACAGTACAGTGTGAAGATGGAAGCGATATTGGACGTTCAAGGATTCCAAGGTAATCAAAGTATGTTCATCGTTAAAGAGTTGGCAGTCGCCTATACCAACGATCTTCAACGGATTGAATGTACTTTCTTCCAGTCTCCCCATCCATGGAAAAAATTATCAGCTAAATTCAAACGCTCCAACACATGGCTCATCAAGAACTTTCACGGCATACCCTGGGAAGCTGGTGATACAACGTACTCTGAAGTGTTAGACATTGTGGAGATAGTTGCTGCAAAGGTGACAAATCTCTACATCAAAGGATTGGAAAAGAAACGGTGGCTTCAGAATATTCTCGAAGGTTCAAAAACAGTGATCAATTTGGAAGATTTGGGGTGTCTAAAAATATCGGACTTGGAACTTCCGAAATGTTTAAATCATAATGATAACCATGAATCACCTCCATTTGTTTGTGCTCTCGAGAACGTGAGAATTTTACGAACCTGGTACATGAAGAACCACGGCGTTAATCTGGATAGGTCTCTAGGGATTTTCTGTAACCTGGGAAGTCTGAAAGAAATGTGTCGTCGAGATATTGTCGCCTTCCCTAAGGAATTTCTGTTGATGTTTGCCACGGAGAACATTGAGGAGATTTGGAATGTATTGCCTGAGAATCGGCAGGATGATGAGGATATTGCTGATTGTCGCAAATGTCGTTTACATCATCAACCAAATTCATCACAACCCATGAAGAAGAACTGCTTTCTGTGTAAATTCTTCAAGAACATGAGAAAAACTTATAATGAGAAGGTAAATCAAAGTTTCCTCATTTACTAACCAACCGTCGGAAAGATCAAACGAGAAAAAAATGGACAAACGTTATCAAAATCCAAAATCCACTGGAAGCAGTTGGCTGGAAGAACAGCAACGACGAACAGCAAGATTTCAACGAGAATTCGAGAAATCGAAGACCTTGGAAGGTAACAAGCCATACAATAAGGAAGCTGCTCCAGAAAACACGGTGCTGTCGGTGATGGTCGATACAAAAAATAACCAACAAATATGGAATTTCCAGTGAAAAATTGCAACAAAAAAAAATGTAATTTTTTTATTTAAAAAAAAATGTTTGTATGAAGGGACAAAATGTATTATCCCAATAAATAAAAAAATAACAATAATTATTCCATTTCTTTCAATTTTCTCTACTTCTTGGAAAAAAATCATATTAGTTAATTAGTATTACACACATGAATCTCACTGCTGCATTCAGAAAAATCAGGATGAAGTTTTTTCAAAATCTGCCGCACCTACTTGTCTCTTCAACGCACCACCAGATGGTGCGTGTAGAAGAAGAGCGTCGCTGTATCCACTCCCCCCGCCGCCCCGACCCCCTCACCCACATTTGATTTTAAGTCGCCTTAAGCATACTACTAAGAGCAACCCTTGGATCCGGCGAATTGCCAGGTTGCATTTCGATTATCGAGTTAAAACTTAATTAAATAATTGTCTATCAACCCCGTAAATCCTGGAGAATTGATCCGTGGGAAGCGCCAAAAGCCCTCAGTAATTTCCCGAACGTTCAACTGTTCGTTTAGAATTAATTCATCAACTCACCCCTTTAATTTTGTTATGAATAGTTAAAACTGTTGAGTATTTAAATTTCCCAGATTCGTTCGGGGGCTCTCTCAAAGCCCGCTCTTTGGGATGCGAAACTCTCCGCCAATCAGAGCCCGCCTCTGTTGGTTGGAATTCGCACTGCGGTTAGTGCCCGTCACACTGACGCAGGGCAGTTAGTTTTGCGTTGACCGTCACAAACTACTAGTCGCGTGTGAATTACTGTGTGTGCCATCACGACGTAATTGTGTCCACACGGATTATCGTTTTCTTCGAGAAGCTGTAGGGATCCAGGATGGTCCGAAAAGGGAAGAGGACCACTAAACATCGAAATATCGTGAGTTTTCTGGTATTTTTCCCCCAATTTCGAGCCATTTCATAATGGCGCCGTCCCTCCTTTATGGCGGTATCCCGCTCGTGGCCCTCAGCCATGTGCAGTGGTTGATCACCCCCTTTTTCTGTGTTTTAGTGGTCCTGAGTGAAGATTTTTAGGGGTAATCCTTTTTTTTTATCTGTGGTCGAATCCCCAATTCGTTGGATTTGGGAGCCCTAGAGAAAAAGTGATAGTTGTTCTTTTTTTTGGTCGAAATCGTGAGATAAAGTGGCTCGAGCATTCCTCATGAATGCTTCCCCCTCACGGCACCACGCTAACTCTCATCCGCGCCTGCTAGCTGCGGCTCCCGCTTCACGCGAGCGTTCCCTCGTTCAGATTTCCCTCCGGGTGTAAATCAGCCTGGAGTGACTCCCAACGATCCAAAATTTATAATTTTGGTTTCATGGGCTTCTCTAGACCTTCCCGAGCAAGTTGGCTCTAGGTTTTTCAAATTTGACTCTACCGAATTTCCGTTACAGTGAGTTTAGTTTTGTCGGGTTTTTAGTTTCCCGCAGTACGTTGTACGTATACCGCTGGGTTTACATCCTCTCTCTCTCACTCTCACGGTGATTCGCATACCTTTCCCCCCATTTCTCGGTATTCTCGAGTATTTCGAGATTAGCAAATATTTTCATATTACCGTTTGAGGAATTTGATGACCTCACTTTGTAACCAAGTTAATCGATAATCTACTCTTGTTAGGACCAAATATTTCAAGCCAATCTATTATTTTGCGGTTGTTAGAAGAATGCTGATTATTATTGCAATTCTTTCTTTTTTTTTGGTAGGACCATTATGTAAGAGAAAATAAATTCTTTATTCTGAAAAATCTCAAAAGTGAAACAAGTAAGGACAATGTCGATCTCTTTCTTTTTTTTTTGTTCGGTAGTTTTGACCTCCCCATTAACCCGTTTCCACCTGAAATCCACCCCTCCCTCCACAACCTAGCACACTGAGCGAACGGAGGACCGTTACCTTTCCCCAAAAATCTATTTTTCTCCCTGTTTGTGTACGTTTTAGAGGTTTTCGAATTAGTTAAAACTGATTTTGTGGATTCCTCCGGTTTGGTAATTCCGGCTAAAAATTACCTGGCGCCCATAGATTTTTGCATTTTTGAGTTCAACTAGATTCAGGGGAAGCAGGGCGAAAGTAATAGGCATTTTCAACCCCCATGCAAAAATTTCACGTTACACTTCTGAACGAAAACGGTCAGACTTGAGCCGTTAAGTTGGCAGCGCAACTCGAATTATCATTTTCCGCATCCCAAGAAGTGCCAACAGTGTCTTACCATGGAGAATAGAGGGAAGGAGGCCAAACCATGGATATATAATACATAAACTGCGGGTTCCCTATCCCCCTGTGTATTGAAAAAAAACATGAAACGGACAGAGAGAGTTGCGTTTGTCGCCGGTTTCCTTCCCTGTCGAACGGTACCGTAGATGGGGATAGTTGCCATTCCATAGTGAACCTATCCTCCACTTCGTGACCGTTCTTGCTCTACTCTGAGGAATAATCGACTAAGAGAGAAATCATCGACAAAACGGCGCTCCTGAAATCAAGTGCAGCAGCATGTAGTTCACATTGGTTCCAATGGTGGCGGTAGTAGTCACTCGCGTGTAGAACATTTTGAGGGTTCCCAAGTAGGAATGAATCACCACAGTCAACAAGAAGACTAATATTTGTTATCAAAACGTAAGATTAATTAGTACAAATAAATATGGGATGAACAGTATCGAGCACTATACGTGTAGCGTAAGAAGTAATGTTTTCGTATCAAGGTTTGTTTCCGTGGGCGAAGTTGAGCTTCTGTAGCGCGTTGAGGTTGATCGACACGCTGCGTCGCGGTCGAAGTGGGAACTGCCGGAGGCGAGGTTGCCACATCCACTCCCCCTCCTCCGCCCCCCAATAACCTTGGTGAGATTCGAAAGGAATGAAACAGTCTTGTCTCTCCTGATTCTGGAACACGTGCGAAGAGGCTGATCCGTACTTGAAGACCGTAGCTGGGGTTCAATGATTTCAGGTTCCTCAGCCTGCTGAGGTTGTTGATGAATGACAGGGTTCTCCTTGGCGATATAAGCCGGTTTGAGTCTCTCC